CCTCTAATGGATGGTGTGACGCCTCTAATGGATGGTGTGACGCCTCTAATGGATAGTGTGACACCTCTAATGGATAGTGTGACACCTCTAATGGATAGCATGACACCTCTATTAGAGGATGAGACACTTATGGCACACTTCTAAGGGAGTGACACCTAATGGAGAATGTCTGAGCGTGTAACACTATCCTTAGCTTGTGACATGTCACCTCCAGGAAGTAACACAATCTACATTTTAAAGAGTAACTTGTAACTCCTAGATATTGGGGCATAAAACAAGTTCTATCATTTATTAGGACAACAAAACTTGGTCCATAGTGCATATAGGAGCAGTCTTGATTGCACCTGGTATGTTTGGGTTTATTCTTTAAATATAGATAAAAAATAGTGTATTGTATCATCACTAAGATATTGTTAATGTATATATTTTTACGAGCATGTTAAGGTAACAATTTCTTGTAGTTTTAAAGGTAAATCTGACGTGGTAGAGAACCAGATACAATACTCATAACACATTCTAGTGCATGTTATCTTGTGGTAACATTCCTCTGTATTGTTAAATAGAAAACTAGAAATGTGTATGTTATTGTATCGTGTTCATCACCATACAGCTTGTTAAACTTGTATTCACATTTATATAGCCAAACTAAAGATTCTCTTTAACCACTACTGTGAAGATTTTGAATCCCTAACCTGTAGTAGGGCTTGGCCCATTTAACCTCACACACTGACCTCAAATTTTGAAATTGAAGTATTGAGATTTAACTGTTTCTTTTTTAGCATTGCTAACTATACAAATATTATAGCATTTTACTCTATTAGTGGCTTTTACTCCAGCCAAGGACTAACATCTAAAACATGTTTACTTGGTGTTTAAGTTTTCCTTTTTATTTGCTTGTACCAGCACAATGTTGATTGATATGTTTTATTGGATGGATGAATATTAGCCATTCTGAGGTTGTGGAAAAACTGGGTCAATTTGGACTGCAGTGCATTGTCACTCACTGGGGTCATTTTAGGGGACAATGGCAAGATTGCAACTGTATTGTCCCCTACAACAGCCCCAAAAAGTACTGCAATGCCTACTCGTTTTTCAGTTTCCCATTCAGTTTGGCTTGGTCCAGATGTATTGATAGAATACTGTGAGGAGCTAGGTCTACTATTGTCTATTCCTCATATCCTCTGACTGATATGTTATCTTTAATGTGTATGCGAATGTTTTCTGACTGTAGAAATATTTTTTATCAATAGCTTTCCTTTTCGTCATTTCCAGTCAGTGATTTCTCAGTCTCTGCCAATTCAAACTGCTCTTTGCGTACAGATTTCTGGGAAGATCGTCCCTTGCCTTTTAGAACACCACTGACCCGCAGTAGGAAAATCAGGGGTATGAAGATACATGACGAACCAATCAGGAATGAAATGACAACGTATCCCCAGGGCGGGTAGGACATGGGTTCTACTTTGGCCTGAAGAAACAATGAAAATATTAATTTAATGTTATTTGCCTCAATAGACCTAATCCACTGCTTTTACATATCAGACCTTGTGTCATTCCCTAGAGTAACATTTCTTTGTTTAATGGTTGCACACGAGAAGACACATGAATGTGGATACAACTCAAACAAAGAATCTTACTCTCAAGRGAATGACACATGGTCTGAAATGGGGAAAACATGCCCAAGTGGATTTGGAAACACTTCAAAACTTCAATATTTTTTGAGTGGAGAGTGGTTGAATACTGGGGAGAGGAGATTGTGTAACACAAGGACAAAAGATTTCGTGACAAGACTTGTGTGACTTACCTTTGCAGGGTTCCATACTGAGTAAGTAATAGGTTTAGTCACCAGATTATAAATGCTAGTAATGATAATGACAGCGACTACAATAGGTGCCAGGAAAGGCCATGTAACCCTCCAATACCATCCTGGACGTGCACCCGTCATGTACTGTATGTCACTCTCAAATCTAAACACAGAATTGTACAAATCAAATAATTTCTCTTGTGATCTCTACGCTGAATGGGAAAACTGTTTTATATTTAGATACTGGAGACATTTAGACACAAGCACACAAATTTAATGGAAAATACTATAGAAGTCTAAATTCAGAGAACACGGAAAAAAATGATATGAGCATTTGTGATACTTTTATCTAAGATGGCATTTCCACCATTCGGAGCGTGCGATAGAACTCAGTTATTTTATATCAAACCTTTTTAATCCATAGACATAACAGACTCCAATCAACTCAAAGAAACCCACAACTAGCAGTGGTAGAGGACCAGAGAAAGAATCAAATACTTGCAGCCAGTACTCGCCAGACTTTTGGCAAAACAGCAGGCCAACAAGAAATGAAGCCACACACAAACAACCTGGCAAGACAAACAACAGAAGGTCATGATTAACCACACCATAGAATGGTCTAAAATGTTCTTCATCTTAGCTGTTGTATTACTAGAGATTATTAAAGATACACAGTTGAATATTGAAAATCTCGCACGCTGATTGGTCGAGAAACTCACACTATCACACGATAATCACCTCCAAAAATAATTCAAAATGGCAGCCAGCCGCTTTGTTGCTGTTACCGGAAAAAATGTGTCTTTTATTTTATTTTCTTTTTTTGAAAGAATCACCTGTGTATTTATACTAAAACAATTATTTGTCTCAGCCTCAGTGAATATTGGGGAATTTTTACCTCACTGCTCGAAGACTCTCGTCTGGGTAAATATTCCCAGATATTCACCTTGCCTTTGGCGAATAATTGTTTAAAATGGTAATGACTGATACAAATATAGTAATGATCTACCTGACAAGATCTCCTTTCTGATGGGAACCAGCTTGCTCTCGTAGATAGGAGTGATAACACCCTCTAATATCCCATATTGACTGCTGAGACCCAGGGTGATAAGCATAGCGAAGAACAACACAGCCCACAATGGAGAGATGGGCATCTTGACGATGGCTTCAGTAAATGCAACAAATGTTAAACCTGGTCCTTGGGCTGCCTGTGGTGAAGATTTGAAACATGAGGTCTGACTACTGTTTGGGTACTGTGCAGGGGTACTGTTAATAGGTTATTATGTGGAATACTGTGGTTACCATAAAGGATACTATTTTGGGTACTTTGGGTGGTATGAGATACTGTAGGGTTACTATAGGATACATACTAATTGGGGTACTGCAGGATACTATGGGGTACTTGACACTGCTGAATGTACTAAAGGTTGCTATAGGATACATGCTGCTTGGGGTACTGCAGGATACTATGGGGTACTAGATACTGCTGGGGTACTTCTTGGGTACTATGGGACCCTGGGTAACAACTGGGGTTCAATGGGGGTACTAAAGGAGGTTTTGTGGGGTACTAAAGGAGGTTTTGTGGGGTACT